TAGTTTATTTGTCAAAGCCACATTGAATTTGTATTATATTAAAGTTATTCTTTGTGACGTCATAACGACTGTAAAGTTAGTACATATTATTATCCATTTTTCCGGGCCATTAAATGTTTGCAGCCGTTAATCATTAATATTCCCGACCAACCATAAATTAACAATTAATAAAAAACGAAGTGGCATGGGTATTACTTATATAGCATATTGTTGTATCACGTGGTGACCCCCACTGTCGCTTCACTATATATATTCCCCCTGTATCGTCTTCGACGATACAGGGGGAGCCGCGCACTTCGTGCGCGGCGGGTCATACAACGTATGACAAGCATATTGGGTGTATTAATATAAGATATCGTCTCCAGTCTCGTAAGACTTATGTATATATTAAGTCTAAGAGGTAACGTCTTAAAAAAATATGTTGATTGTCACGTTACACTTACACAAGCTTGTATTCAGTATTCTGCATCCTGATTTGTGATTACTGATTTCACAATGCACATTTTTCATTTGCAATTTTGAATTTGACATTCCTGCAAATGCCAAAGCGCGCGTGAAACTAAATTATTGCGAGCAGCACACGTGCGCCATGTTCAATTCGATCTGTTATGAAGTTGGTATATGCTATGCTCTATCTTGTATCTGCGTTTTGCGGCAGTGCTAGGTCAAGGTGTTAAAGCTTTTATCGCCTGGTCCCCTCAAGTTCCATTCAACGTCACCCTAATCGTAAATTACATTGACCATGCTATTTTGTAATTGTATTCCGAGTTTTTACTTTTCAGTGCTATGGTGCTGACCCTTTTTGGCTTTCTTTATTCTCGGCAGCGAAAATTGATCCCGAAAGTGTAGTTCTGCTGTTTTTGAAACTCAGATTAGTGTCAGTCCCGCTTCATGCTTCGTGCAAATTTAATTTTCAAGATATGGGCCGTTCATAATTTTGTCGTTGTAAGCGCCTGGAATGTCAATGAGGTTATTGAAATTGAAGTTATCAACTTTACTGTGTTCTTTCTGTGCACTTTCATGAACAAAATCTACCATTTCATCAATTGCCTTTTGTGATTTGATGACATGTAGTGGGCAATATTAAAGCATATGACCATATCCAATATTGTCAGTATTTATTGATAAAACTTGATGCAGATATTGCATTTTTTTATGAGCTTTTCTACCAGTATAAAAGTACTACAAAACTTTAGTATTTGATGACTGATGTCAATGTTTATTGTTTTTGCACTGTATCGTTGACGTTGATCGTAATTCGTATATGTGGTGTTAAAAATGATTCCATTTAAATACATGAATTATTACTGACAATAGCGTGGTTTGTGGCGTATATCAAATTCAATCGAAAAGAATTATGCACACATTTAAAAAAGGCAGATCGAGATAGGTCTAGTTTGCATCGTCACTGTTGACTGTGCATACTGGTCTCAATAACTTCAGAGTTATCACCATTGAGCAACTGATGATCAAAAGTTGCATACGTTGCAAACAAAGCTCTTTTTATTATAGTTCTATGTTGTGCATAATTAAATGCTGAACTAATTCTATTGAATAGCCTCCAGATAATAAGCTGCTATTGGCCGCAATAAAGAGATAACCGACCTGGCCGGCAGCAATATCGATAAGTTGACAAGCTCATCATGCGAAAATTATGTTCGTTAGAACTGGATTTTACATTATAATGCTCTTCATGTGACTCATAACACATTGCAACTCGTACAGTTGTTCATAATTGCTTCAAGCTCCAATTGTTTTTTTTCAAATTTCGTGTTAGTTGTTAGTTACATTTCTTGATTATAAAATATTTATTCTGTTGCTTGTAAGTCTCCCGCTCAGATGCCGAAATACTTAAAACATTTACTATTATTTTATTAAAATTATGTTATTTAAATAGTCCTGCATGTCAGTTGAGCACTCTCTGGGAAACTAAGACAACTCATTAGGTTTGCTTGATGATTCGTTTTCTTCCTCGACTAGACTATAACTAGGACCATGAACTAACAGTAGTTTTCAACCTTAAAGTTTAATGTGTTGAATCCGCAGTATATTACATCTAAAGTATATTACTTACTAAACACCTCTGAATTTCTAAAGTATTACTTTGTCTCTGCCTTAGTGTGTTATAATATGTTTATTCTTAGAGCAAACACAAAATTAAGTTATAACGACTTTGTTTTAGGTTTGAACTTTAATAAGAAAAGCTTGTTAGAGATTAGTGGAATAAAAGTGATAGGCTTTGAAATCTTAACTCCCTTTATCACAAAAAAGTAATTCACATTCAATCAGTAATATATCTGACTAATGTATTTTAGAACTTATCAAAGGTGGTTAGGCCTTGATTCGTGGATATTTTCTCGATTGTTCTTGAAATTGTTATCTCGTAAACACAAATTTTTCCATACATCCAGCAAGCCTTTCTCGCCTGTCTTAGAAAGGGTTATCGATAACACGTACAAGTTGCAGTAGACACTAATTCCAATATAAGAATATAGGGCCTATACACGTCATTTACTGAACCACTGGCTGCAGTCTGTGCCGAGGTGGCATAAGTCGTTACTCATTAGCCATCTGCACCTCTTGATCCGCTCTATAAATAGACTCACAATTTAGTAGCTAACATATTCATTACGTAGTAGAAATTTAAAAGGTTAGTAAAGGCTGCTGTTGTTGAAAATGTGCCACAAATTGCTTTTTAAAAATGAAATTACAGATTACAGAAACACTGCAGTTAAGTAGTGCTTGTGGTCCGACGACCATAACTGTTTCTGAACGAGCCAAAATGGCCCGGTTGTACGTACAGGACCATGGAGCATACATTGCATACGGAACAGTTCATGGTGCAGGTAGCATCTCCCCGGGCGCACTTAGCAACCCTCTTGATGAAACTTGATCTTTTCTTGAAAACAGTCCCTTGCTGCCGTTTTGAATGAGAGTAATATGTGTTGTTATGGTGATCTGATCAGTGAGTTTGCTTGTTGTCTTGGTAACGGAATATGATGTACAAACCCATGTGGATGTCCAAGATTGGTGGTTGCACCGTGATTCAGGTTAGTGTAATTATACAATTGGTTAACTACGGAGATTACTCCCGGTAAAGCAGTAAGTAAGACGGTAACACATAAATATTGGTGCAAATGAAGAAGTGAGTCGTGAACCGGGGGTTTCAATGTCAAGATGATGGGTGCAGTAAGTTCAAGTACAAACTGATCGATGATTCTTTACCTACATTTCATACTTTCACGGTGTCTGTTACTCTAGTCTCTAGCCAATTCAAGTTTGCACTGCAATTATATTATTTCCATCTTGCCATGCGCTGCACCTGCCACTTGTAATGCGCTGCACCTGCCACTTGTTTGGGGAATCAAGTTTATGAGTTCTATTTCCCTCTTTGTATGAACATGAAAAACCGATATATGCTTGGAGCAGTGCCCTCATGTGCTTGTGGATGGTCTATCAGGAGACGGGGAAAGACAGCCAGGAAAAAGACAGGCAAGGTGAGTGATGGATTCAGAGATCGTTTTAAAATCGTTTCTTATTTCAGTCACTGGTTTAGTGCTGAGTTACTACCGAATTAAGATCATAGTGCCTCTACTTCTCTTGTAGTCTCTCGAATTTAGGACCCCTTACGTTACCCGCTGTCACTTTTCTTTGACCACAAGAACTGCAAAGAAAATGTTAGTCTAGATGCCCTTTGTCGAACAAATGTGTAGATCCCTGAACCTGCTCCGTTTCAAAGTGCACTCAGCAGGTATGTGCAGAGAGCTGCTTTCAAGTGCTCACTGTTCCACGGAGCAATACTTTCCGTGTTGCACAATATTAAAATACCTAATATTAACGGAACATGAAGGCTGCTAAACAGCGGCAATCAAATCAAAGATTTGATATTTTACATGCAGTCACAGCAGCAGTGATGGGAAGTTATATTATGCAGCTCATATTAGGGATATTATGTGTCATTAATATCGAAACTAATGTTATCATCCGTAGTAGTATCGTGTTTAGAAGTACATAATATTACAACACTACTGCAGGCTCTCTACAAACTGCACGTGTAATCAAATCTCAGATGTGACGCTGATATCCAGCCTATAAGTGTCAGATACTACCACTACACCTACACTTCACATTGTTATACAGCTCTGCAGGTGTGTCTCTAGATTAAGTAATATCGAGCCAGCCAATTTAGTTCTTCTTTTGACTTTGACACGCATTGTGCTTGTAGTTAGTGAATTGTAGTTAGTTTGCTGTTGTTAGTGTACTGTTGTTAGTGCACTGTTGTTAATGTACTGTTGTTAATGTACTGTGTTAATGGACTGTTGTTAATGTACTGCTGTTAGTGTACTGTTGTTAATGTACTGTTGTTAATGTACTGTTGTTAATGTACTGTTGTTAGTGTACTGTTGTTAGTGTACTGTTGTTAGTGTACTGTTGTTAGTGTGCTGTTGTTAGTGTACTGTTGTTAGTGTACTGTTGTTAATGTACTGTTGTTAATGTACTGTTGTTAATGTACTGCTGTTAGTGTACTGTTGTTAGTGTACTGTTGTTAATGTGCTGTTGTTAATGTACTGTGTTAATGTACTGTTGTTAATGTACCGTTGTTAGTGTACACTGTACTGTTGTTGTTTGAACTGCTCTTAATATCCGTAGGTTAGATCGATAAATTGAGATATTGCGCAATTTCTTGCAAGTTGCCGTCGTGAAGTGGAACCATGGTATCATGATAACTGGGCTTGACCATTAAAAGTGGACCAGGGGGGGGGGGTGTTTGGATCCTCTTTGGCTATCTGTTACATCTCCATTCTTCATAACATATGGTATACATATATGTATTACTTATTTCTTGTTTCTATAAAGCCCGGGATAAACAAAACTTTGTGTAGGAATTATATAAGATAATGTAACTGTAAGCGTGTATTATAGGGCACTTTCTCGTCTTAAACGTCATAACTGATTATGTTCTAATTTTGGTCAGAACGAGTAACCAAGACAACAGTAATTTTAGGGGCTATGCACATGACCATGAGCCGGTTCAGTACATGTCATGCTGAGTATGATTAGGGTTGCATGCCGGTGACGTCACACTTAACCACCACAACCAGGCCGCACTCCGCTTCGTCTGCTGGCAACATAAAGGGTCAGCTTCGCTGTATCTTTTCTAGAAGCAGGGTGAGTTTCTCTGAGGTTGTCACTTGTTAATCTTCACTCTTCAGGTTCTGTGATATTAGTTTTGTTTCCAATTCAGTTTATTTCGAAGGTTGCAAAAGTTTTAGGCGGTTTTTACGATTTCCAATATAGTCAGTTTTCATGTTTCTAACATGGTAAATGTATATTGTCATGTTTAATACCATAACAACATTGCATAATTAGTACTTAGTGACAAAAGAACAAATCATGATATAAATATGTTTATTTTTCAGTTTCCATCTGAGAAAATCCTAATAAGCTTTAGTATGTGGACATTTTTTCAGCCAACAACACCAGTTCTGCGGAATGGAAGGAAATATCGAAACAGCGCCCAGGCACAAGCGCACCAAGTCGAGTACAATAAAGTTCAGAAAGCAAAGAGAAAGAAGAGTACCCAGCTGGGGCACGAAGAGGAGGAGCGAGTCATGAGGATCTTACACAAGTTAGTTTTATCTAGATAATTAGTTGTTTTAATTTGTTTTATTAATTATTTTAATTTTAAATGGAAGTTGACTATTGGACATTGTTGCTTAGTTACATTAAATAAGAGAATATTGATTTTTGGTTTTTGTTTTATAATTTACGTCGCTTCTCCACTTTTCAGAAGTCCATTCATTGAAGAAGTTAAACTTAATTTCTTAACTTTTTAAGTTGAATTTTCCATAATTGTTAAATAGATCTTCTTAAATAGTTATTAAGTAATAAAAATGCTCTTGCTTGTCAGTTGAGCACTCTCTGGGAAACTAAAACAAAACTCGATCGTAGATCTTCTGTTATTCAGTAGAATACGTTTGTTAATATTGATGAAATGAACTAAACAAAACTGGAATAAAACTATCTAGTATCTACGTTACATATCCGTCACTTTAGTTATGGTGGAAGTGCTCAAATCTTAGATGCTATGGAATAAGACGGTAAAGTTAAATATCTGTAAATGTACTGCCATAATATCCTTAAGGCAGCTCGGATTCAGCTGAGGAGAAGTTTCAATCGCCTAAATTAATCTTTGAAACGTTCCCAGAGCTCTGTGATTTTTCACATTTGATGATTGTTCAAACCATTCTAAGTCAAGTTTTACAACAATTTCAACACGCATTGTTGAACACGCCGTGAAAATTGTTAACGGGTTGTAACAGTCACATTAAAAACGATGGCCCTGCTTTACGGTTCTCCAATTAACGCTTAACAAAGTTTGTTACTCATTTGACACAAAGTCTAGAATACCGTTTAGTTCTGTATCGTATCCCTGTCTAAAATACCGTTTAGTTCTGTATCCCTGTCTAGAATACCGTTTAGTTCTGTATCCCTGTCTCTATGCCATCATTTTGACTTCTCCTATTCTAGTATGTTTTGGCACAGTGTTAGGGGTCCTTATTGGAGTCCTTACTGGAGTGATTCTTGTTGGACCTTTATTGGAAGATATTCTGTGAATTTCCAATGCTGCTGAGGGTTGATGGCGCAATCTCATTGCCAATTTACCCCTACCTTTCCAATAATTCCCAGAAAAATACCCACCACCACCACAGCACAATTTATTAACAACAAAGACCCTGAGTTCATGGTTCCTCACGAAGTAAACAATGGGATTAATAGCACAGTTCAGGGGTACACACAGACTGTAAGTGAAGACGTAGGTATCATAGTTGTGTGTAGACCCGTACAGACTGCCAGGGCCCAGGATACACTCCCAGATGTGGACCACACAGAAGGGGATGTTAAACAGACAGAATAACCCCGCTAGAATCAGGACTGTTATTGAAGTGTCTACGTTCCGTCTCTTTTTGACGCTGGCTTTGTGAGCTGGAGCATTTGGGAGGAGTTTCTTGATGGATGTGAGTCCTGATATGACGATAAGAATGGTTAGGAATGTGGGCAAGGTAGCTAGTTCCACCCAGTAGTACTTGTAGTGGATAGTCCCGGTGAATGCGAGGGTGACGATGATGATCTCGTAGCACAAGAACAGTGACAGGAGGACCATAATGCAGGGTGTTTTGACTTTAAAGAAGGGTTTCACCAGATAGAGGGTCCTGGTGACGGTGAGGAGGCAGGTGATAAATACTGTCGTCTTCATCATTATGTCACTTATAGCTATCAGGGCCTGGGAAACGAAGAGTTTTATAAGGCCTGGCAAAGATGAATTAAGATACATAATTCTTGATATTTTAGTAACTTATTTCTGTATAAAGATTGTTCGATCATTTGAAAACATTGGTATAAATTAACAAGGACAATGGAGTGAAATTACCTGAAAAGAGACTGGAGGACTGTGGACATCATCCAGAAACCAGTAAGAATGAATCCAAGTAGACATACTGGAGACACAAACCAGCATGTCCACCAGGTTTAGAGAGATGAGGAGGACGGTGCCTGGAGAGGGTGACCTTCTGTGCAGGAAGAAAGTGAGGGACAGGGAGTTGGTTACGATACCCATAATCACTATTCCTGCTGCTAGGTAGCTGATAACTGTCAGGTATAGGGACATGTTGCTGTCTTATCTGAGAGTTAGGATGTTAGATGAACAGTCCCTGAAGTAAGCGGTTAAGACAATTGGAAATGGAAGTGAACTCTGGTTAAACAAACAACAACAACAGGCCCCATACTTAATTTCCCTTGAAGTTTATCTATTCATCATGTATGAATGGGCCGATAGATTTGACGGATTTACCCGTCCTGTAAAAGTGAGGTAATTAGAATAGTAAATATTGATGGCAAATTACGCTCAGTTTTCGGGAAATATGGAGAATATTGGCGGGATTTTCAGTCAAAATTTGTCATGTGGATAAATCTGGGAGTAACATTGCGATCATTTGTAAGAAATTTAAAACTAAGTTCAAAACTAAGACCTCATACGTCACTCTTACCATACTCTTACGTTTAAGTCAAACTTGTATTGGTGATATCAAACAAATTAATTCCCCGGAGCACCGGTCAGGAGTGTTTTCAGGAGGCATTTGATTATAACACATACCCGCTAATGAACAGCTTGAGGTACTGCAATTTAAATAGAATAAGTGAGCGCTAAGTGGTTTCATTGCCAAGCCACGTTGCGACCACTTACTGTGGTGGGTAAAGCAAAGGTTGGGAGAAAAAATACATATTCGATGACGATAGCTTGGTCACATTTATAAAAAAAAGTTACAAGTACAAAATATATGCTTAAATATTAAACATTATTATATGACGGAAAACAAGGAAAGTAAGTGGGTGCACATATCGCGCTCGTTCGGTACTTAGGATAGTTCTGTTGATGCCAACTACCCTCATTAATTTTATAACATACTTGAATATGTCACTTGGAAGGAGCTAATCGTGTTTCTTGACAGTCAATTTTTACAAATCCAAAAACAAATCATTTACAACTGAAGATGTAGCATACTGAAGGCAAGCTAATCACAACAAAAGAGACAGTAATGTCACCCCAATGATCTTTGCACGTTACCATGTGTCGTAGCTTAGCAACATCCCATTTTCACCCAATTTGCACGTGCGGTCACCGATCACACAAGATCAGGGACAAAAGGATTTCGCGATTATTTTTGCCAAAAATCGCGGTACCGCGAAATTTAACAGGCTATACATTAAACTATACATAAAATTTGTCGCGGAGAATGGGAAATTTCGCGATTTCGTACATGCCGCGAAATCCTTTTGTCCCTGCACAAGATGAAATCACTGAATCATAATGATGACTAGAAAGCCTGTTGTCTGCGTCACAGGGAAGAAGCATTTTGTATAGTCAGTTTTTACAAATACAAAAAATGTCTATCGCAACCGAAGATATAGTCGATTAAAATTTAACGCTCATTTGCACTGAGCACAACGCAATTTGAGGGAAGGAAAAAAACAGCGAAAGTTCGTTTCAGTAATTTTTAGTTCGCACGTGCACCTTTCCATATCACACGAGATTTAATATCTGAATTATAACAGAGATGCGTGACAAATAGTACTGGAAAATATCGAAATGATCGCAATCATTAACTCGCGTTATGACACCACTAAGCACCAGTCGAGACTAAAACTGAAATATATCAAAATTATAACCATCAAGAACGGGGCCCTTCTAATCCTATAATTACTCGCACAGTTGATCATTTGAGCGTGCCATCTTAATTAGATCTGTATATTATCTTTAAGGAAATCATATTCGAATATACTGTAATTGTGGAGAAGTGAAAGATTTCATAAATTATCTGTCTAAACCTCCGGAAGGCGTATATTGTGATGCAAATTAGCAACTGGAACTCTGACGTTCAATAATTCATCTCAACGTCTTGATAAATATATCCCTGTATAATTAAACTGTGGCAAAGAAAGATAATTTGACCATCCCGAGGCAGACCAATGCTATGAGGAATGCTCCCAAGTTCCATTCAGCACAAGCTGGGCTATGCTTTCATCAGTAGGTTGACATTGTGGTGATAATTACTTATTAAAGCTAATTATATCTTTCGTTCAGCATTATAAGTATCTATTACGTGTAGTTATGCTGGAGAACAATGTGGTGCCCGGGGTCACACTTATGACGTACCCCTTTCGACGGATAGAGCCAAGAACGACCATTTTACCGAGTTAAAAATTAAGTTTTATTGATGAAAAAGAGATATTTTACATTATATAGCTGTTCGTGCCCAAACACTGTTTAGGCATTGTTCGGTGAACATTGCCTAAACATTGTCCGAGCAGAAACGCTACAATTGGAACTAAAGTGACTGAACTGTAGCATGCTACACTTGGCAGCCTAGTGTTTGTGGTCATGGTCTTGAGTCTATTGTCAGTCCGCTGACTGCTGACACGAACTGCTCATGGATTAAAGGGGGCAGAATGTACGTATGTTGTCCACTACCCAGCTAATAAAAGAGTTACTGTTTAAATAGCTTATGTAATTGTATCTAATCATGCAAACATAATAAGTGCAATCACAGCAGTAAGCAGTCAATGTTGATCAACCAATGACATATGCTTAGCTATGATTTCAGAAAGATTAAGCATAATTTATTACTTACTTAATTAGTAATCTATAATTTATTACGAATTTTAATTAGGTAATTAGGTAATTAAGTATTTTTGTTTATTTCCAACCATACACAGACCAAATCTAATGCTAAAGTTAAAATTGGACTACTGTCATCAAGTTTGGTCATAACTGGTCCTAAATACTAAATAGGTCATTTCTCCTTGTGCTGTTCGGAATGATTAAGTTATCTGATTACAAATAAACTGTTGCAGACACTTCGCCATTGCTACCAGCTGGACATTAAATCCTGGAAATCTATAAAGAGGAGGAACCCCTAGTTTCAAACATGAGCAAGTGAATGACACAAGTTTTATTAGCTTAATGTCAGACAGGGAGCATTAGTCTGGCATCCGTCCAACAGCTACACAACAACTCTGATTCATCTAATCTTATAGCACAAGGTTTCGGAAAGTAGGCTAGGAAAATTG